CATTGCCTTTAAATACCAAGGACAAGTCGATACCAATGTCAATAATCTGCCCCATGGCTTCCTTCATTATCAGAATCACTTCCAGAGGAAAAAGTACTAGCTTTGAAGTGAGACAGAGCTGGGTCCTGACCCCAGCTCTGCTTACTAACAGTGTGATCCTGGGCAGATTATTTCCCCTATCAGAGCTCAGTTTCCCCATCTGTAGTGGGCGTCGTGAAGATTATATGAGATAAGACGCAGGAAGTATCTGACCCATGGAGAAGCCCAGTGGTGGATATCATGGTTCACATTTTGTCCACCCTCTACAAGGGTCAAGGGCAGGCAGCTCCAGCCCTACAAAGAGTGTGTCTTTCTTGCTGGAAACCCCTGGGCCCCTCTTCCCCACTGGGGCTCCCAAAAGTCTAGAAAGTGGACGGGGGCAAAGGAACATGCTAGCCCCATATACTGTCCCATCTAAACCTCTGCAGATTCTGCATTCCTTGTAACGCTTGCGTGGAGCACTTGCATTGAACCTGGGCTCAAGGCCTTGAGCAGTGTTTCTTCACGAGGACTGAGCATCTGAGTCTCCAAGGGCCCGGCTGTCTCGGTGCTTTTACCAGCCTCTCATGTGCACACCCAATAGAGAGCCACTGAACCAAAGAAATGATATTCTGCACATTTCAGACACTGAAATAACTGTAGGAGAGTTTTGGGGGGGGTGCATGCACATGCACGCATGTGCAATATGTTTAGAGGAGGGTATGGGGAAGCAGGAAGAGGAGTTATAATGATCTTTTCAGTGTCCCCAAACCCCGCCAGGTAGGAGGGGGTGCACGGGAAGCCGGCCTTCCCAGCAGGGGCCTCTCTTGTCCTGGTGCTGCTGGTTCCCGAATACCCGACACACCAGATGTAGGGTCAGCCTGGGACTGGGGGTGCCTGTTGGAAGTTTCATATACTATTTGACCACTCAGGGCTCCCTCCTTGTGTGACATTCGGATCTGTGGCTGCTGGAATGAAACCCTTCTTTCTTGCTTTTGTATTGCTTTGGAGCCGGCTGCCCGAGCAGAGTCACAATGTCACCTCATAGGCCACTCAGGGCTACGACCCCCTGTGCTCCTGTCCCAGCCAGAATCCTTTGATTGAAAGGACAGCCCCCTGTGCCTCCTGTCAGGTGACTGGAGGCTCTGTCCCTGGCCATGGTCCCAGTGGGCACGGAGACCTACAAAGCCCGAATGCCCTTCAGTTACTCCCTCTTCCTCTGTTCTTGCTCAGCCCCTTTTGTTCACTTCCCTTTCAGTTCCCAGCCCCTCTTTCTCTTCAGAGAAGACTGATAAACCCGACCTCAGGAAGCATCAGAAGCAGCCAGGGGCTGTCTCCTGCTGGGGTTACAATGCATTTCACTAAGCAGACATCACCTTTGGCAATAACCCATTGGTTGCCATGACAACGTGGACAGCTTGTGTCTTGGGGATATGTTGTGCCCTCATTCTGGCTGCCCAAGGTCCCTCGCCCCAGCTTTCTTTCCCACATCCTTTCAATAGGCTTACAGCATCCCGGCGCCAACTCACAAGGACCATTCTTTAGTTCGGAGCAGCTTTGTCTTGATCAGCAAAAAACTGCTTGGCTTAGCAATCAAAGGAATAGATCGAGCCATTTCTGTCCTCAAAATGCTCTAGCCTCCGTCTCTCTCAAAGCTAAGATCCTTACCAGGGCCTACAAGGTCCTATGTGATCTGGCCCCAGCTCCCACCTCTCTCCCCTACCAACTTTGCCAGACACATTGGCCTTCTCGCAGTTTCTCAGAGCACCAAGCAGACGTACCTCAGGCCCTTTGCACCCGCTGCTATACTCTCTGTCCTGATTTCTGTATGCTTGTTCCGTCCCTTCACTCAGGTCTTTGCCCCCTCCTCAGAGACGCCTCCCCTACCATTCTACCTAACATCGCAGCCCTCCACGCTTTATCCAGCTTTCTCTCCTCCTGGTGCCCTTCGGCCCCTGGCATTATGTCAACCCAATTTTTTGTGGGTTCAATGTCCACCTTCCCCAGCAGACTGCCCCTGGAATAGGGGCAGCCCATTTGTTACATGAGAGAATGAATGACCAGCCATGGATTCGAAGCTGGCTTTTCTATTTGGCAGCTTTATGGCATGGTGTAAGCCACCTGGTCACCCAAGCCTTGGTCTCCTTGTCTGAAAACAGGTGATAATATCTGCTAGCTAGAATGACAGGAATAAATGAGGCGGCACAGAGGATAGAACCAAGAGCATGCCCCACAAACGGGAGCTGACATCATCTCTTATTCCTGGGTCAGCTGCATTCAGAGTAATGCTGTCCCTGCCTTAGGCTCCTGGACACCCACACACCTCCAAGGCACCTGCCACTGTGATCTGCCAGGGGAGCGTGCAAGATGCCCGAGGAAAAGACAGCCAGCGATGGGGCACGGCGAGAGCCCTCTCTTGCAGATGGGCTCCGCACTCATGCTGGGTCAGCCACAACCGTTAGGTCATCTCGGCCTCCGTGCATGAGGCCCTTAGAGATAGCCTCCGCCAGGCTGGGTGAGACGCCCCCGTGCGGATCCAGCGGCCCTGGCTTCACCCGCCTCCCGCGACCTCTCATACAGAGTGCGGCTGGGGGCTGCACTACGGAGCAGGGTCTTCATTGAATTTCTCAGGGGTTCCCTGGGCGTGGAGCCAAAAAGTGTTAAAAGAAGGAAGGAGATTCACAGCTTTTCTTTTTCCACAAGCTGGTAGATAGATTTGCTCATTTCTGAAACTGTTAAGAGACAGCGAAACATTCTGTCCATTTCAAGTCCTACCATTGTCCGTTTGATGTGAAGATCCTGTCTTCGGTTTATCGCATCTGACCTTTTTCAGAGAGGGCAAGGGTTGTGCACGCGAATAGCAATGAGTGCCCCCTGCACGTGGAGTCTGAAGGAAGCACAGGGGAGATACGACGAGCAGCAGGACCAGTCCCTGCCCTCCAGGGGCTTCTGGTGCCTGTGCCTGGGGGAGCGTGGGCAACGTGGACAGGCAGCCAACTCATCAGGTCCAAAAATCACACTAGCCCAGGTGACATGTTATCCTCAGTTGGAGAGTCGAATGGTATCTGCATGTCCCGTGTTTAGATGGAGTAAGACACTTGTCCAGTCATTTTTCCAAGAGACAGTTGTCACTTGGCACATGGAGAGAGAGTATCAGAGCCTGGAAGATAAAGGACAGACTTCTCATATTTATCAATGAGCTAGATAATGGTACAAAAGACAGTTAACATGGACAGAATAAAGGTATGGCAGAATAAGGACCTCTCAGAAGGCTTAACCCCCAATAGATGGGAAGGGTGGCATTTAGGATCAAAAGGACAATCACACTGGAATAGGATGTGTTTTGACAACCACTCATAAAAATATGAAAGTGTTTAACCACAAGCTTAATAGAGGCCAGTGACAAACTGACAGGCCATGACAATTATAAAGCTTTGAAAAACAAAAACAGCATTGGGCTGAGGGTGCCTGGTCTACACACTGAGTTCTTTGAAACCAGAAAAAATTTAGTTCAAATCCCAGCTGTGCTCATTAGCTGTGTGACTTTGAGTTATTCACAGCCCTTTCAGAGCCTCAGAATCTAACTGAAATGAGATGGTAAGACCCTCCCTGCTGGGTTATTTTGAGAATTAGCAATAAGGTGAGTGGAAGTTGTTAGAAAGCAACCATGTCACTGAGCCCTTCAGGAAGGAGTTGGGCAGAATCAGCCTGAGAATAAAGCTCCAGATACATGGTTAGTACATTATTTTGTTGTCGTCATTGTGGAAATCTCTAAAGAACCATCAAAGGAAGGAAGACATGCTATGCTGCCCTGAAGAACCAAAGTAGAGGTGGAAAGAAGTGAGTGGGATGGGTCTCAGCTCAAAGGAAGAGGAAACAGACCTACCCACCATGAAATGGGCTACCGTGCCAAGGAGTAAGCTCCCCACCCCTGGAAGTATTTGGGCAGAAAGTAGATGACCATCTGTCAGAAATGCTAATAGAAGGAATTTCTGGATCCAAGGCCCGTGCAACCAAACACAGCTGGATTTCGATCCAGGTTCCTGAAGTTAGCCCGGTGGTCCTGGGCAAGTTAACCTCTTTGACCCTCGGTTAACCTCTGCAAAATGAGAACAATAATGCTTCAAATGAGTACTAGAAGGATGAAGTCCGATCATGTCCAGAAAGCACCTGGCCCAAAGTAGATTCTCCCCTACTTGGAGTAAAAAAGCAGAGCTGTGTGACTTCCGAGATACCCTCTGTGGGGCTAGGAAATGCAGAGCAACCACAGGGACTCCTAGGAGGATAAATAGACCCCACCCAGCAGGCTAGGATGGGCCAGGCCCCGGACAGGCAACCAACCAGAGCGGGCAACTATGTAACCAGTAGCAGGGGTCGGCCTGCCTGGGAGCACAGCCCTCACCAGGACCGTGGCACGGTCCTGTCGCCCTGTCTCATGGGCAGGGTGTCTGAGCGTGTTCTCAGCTCTGGCTGCGTATTAGCATTGCTTGGGTTCATCACGCTTGGCAACCTCTGCTTTGGAGGGAAGTCAAAAACTGGAGACATGATTGGAGGCCAGAGACCCTTGGCACCTCAACTGGTGCAAAGACAGATGTGACGGCTGTGAGACGGGTTAGTGATGTCTTCCTATCTGTGAGGGGCTCTGGAGCAGAGGATGGGAAAATGCTATTTTGCATCTTCCCTGGGGATTCAAGAGGAAATAAGTGAACTCAACAGTAAAAGGATTAGTAGCAATGTAAGGACGAATTCTCTTCCAGTGACAGATGGACTGTGGCAGGGACAGCCGAAATAATCATGAAAGCCTCTCCTTGGAGGCTTTCCCCCAAGCAGAGATTGCCATCCAGAGGAGGGGGCTGAAGCAGACTCCCACCCAAAGGCCCCAGAAGGTCCTCACAGGTCCTTTACCCTGTCCTCTGCCCTAAATCTCACACTTGTCCTTTTACCATTCTTCCTTGTTGGAGTAACCCATCTCTTATCCACAGGCATCTCAGAAAACACAGCCATGCCTTCGATGCCAGACTTGCTGGAAGAGAAGCTTCGATCCCAACTGGAGGAAGAAAAGAGAAGGTACCCTTTTTTTTTTTAACCTCACACACCCTGACCCCATCCACTGAGGGCCCTCGGGGATGACCGGGAGCTGCCCAGGCCAGGCGGAGTGGCCACTCCCCAGCCCAGGTCTGAAGCTCCTCTGGGAAGTGGGTCCAGTGGCTGGGTCCTCAAATAGCTGGAGGGCGTGCTGCCTTTGAGCAGACAGATGTGGAATGCAGGGACCATAAGCAGCGTGGGGTTGGAATCCGGAGCAGAAGGCCTCGCCAGGCCCTGGAGCCCATAGAGAGGTTTGCTTGTTGGCACCCTCCCCCGCCCAAGGTCCCCGGCTGTGGCTCGGGAGCAACTAGGCTTATCTACTGCTGCCATCTAGGGGAGTCCAGGAGTATGACCACGGAGGTCTCCCGCCTGCCTGCAGATCTGCCCCCACTTCCCTCCTGAGTCTCCTCACCTGCAGGGCGTCCTGAGAACCTCACAGCCTCTTGCAGCCAGTCAGGGCCCCCAGATGACGTCACGAACAGAGCGAGGAACCTCCAGCATCAGCAGACATATGGCTGTAACTGATACTCAGCATGGTCGCAGAATCTCGCTTAACACAGCAGTACGGCTTCGTCCTTCATTCCTTGGTTGATGCATTCCACCAATGTTTGCTATGCCCTGCAGGCCATGGAGAGGCTCTGGGGAGAGCAAACAAGTCACCTTCCTGGCCCTCAGGATGCTGATGGTGTCAGTGTTACATGTGCCATCCCTGGGCTGGCGAGGTGTGCCCCGCCCTCGCCGCTCACACACCCCTGCTGCCCCGAGACTGGAGCAGAATAAGGCCCCACGCAGCAGGTCCCCAGATTCCTCCCCATAGCTGCACTGGGGCCTGTCCCGCCCGCATCCTCCTCCCAGAAAGCCTTGCGCTGCCCTCCCAGACATGCTGCTGTTGCTCTCCACCCCCTGGAGTTGCCCTGGAGTTATCCTCTTCCTCCCTCACTCTGTTTATTTTTCCCAATTTCTTTGCAACCCATTTTTTTGTGTCTTTACTCCACCCTGTGTTGTCCCTTTGGTCCACATCCCCAACCCCAGCGTCCCTTCAGGAGCCACGCGGTGTCTGCAGTTCGGCTGCCTAACTGGTTCCTGTTGGACAACTTCTGCCCCGTGGCCACATGCCCCAAACCTGAGTGCGCAGTAACAGATGCGGTGCAACTTTTGTCCTCGGTACGAAGTGAACCAATGGAATAGAGAGGTGGCTGTGGTTTCTAGAGCCGGATGGCCAGCGCTCACATACTGGCCCCTCGGTTTATTAGCCCACAGAGCAAGTTATATAACCCCTCCATGCCTCAGGTTCCACATCTGCAAAGTGGAGCGCCTCCTTCATAGGACTGTGTACAGGACTGAATCCGTGGATATGCCGAGTGCCTAGGGCAATGCCTGCCCCGTATAAATGCTCAGTAACACTAGCCATCCTTCTGGAAGAAGGGGGTATTCATCTCATACGTGGAGCCCATGGGCCTGCTGGGCAAAAACACGTGGTTCTGCTTCCCTGTAAGGGGCTCAAGCCCAGGCCTGGCCTCCGGCCTCTGTGGGCTCCCCTGGGGTCCCAGTCCCTTGTTCCAGTGCGGCACTGCCAGACTTCTGAGACACGGGCCCTGCAGTGACACTCCACTCCCAGCCTTTCCCCCTGCCAGTGACTTTCACGACTCTTCCCTGATTTCACTGTAGGTATAAGATAATGTTCACCCGCCTGAAGGCCCTGAAGGTGGAGATCGAGCACTTGCAGCTGCTCATGGACAAGGCCAAGGTGAAGCTGCAGAAAGAGTTTGAAGCCTGGTGGACAGAGGAAGCTGCCAGCCTGCAGGTATTAGCCGCTGTCCCCTTCACTGCCCCAGAGCCCACCCTCCTCCTGGGGCCTGGAGCGGGGCTGTCAGAGGCAGAAGAGTGGGGGCTTCGACCCACAGGCCCACATGCTCTCAGCCTTAGCTAGTGAGGCAAGTGCTCATCCTAGTAACGAGGATGCCACCGGCCGGGGGCTCGCTGTCTCCGTGCTCTGAGGCCTGACACATAGAAAGGTGGGGGATGGAAGGTGTGCCCAGACCAGTGGATTTGCCACTGTTGCTTTGTGTAATGTTCTCCTGCGATACCATATTGACAATATTGACTGTTTTTTACTACAGTCATATATGTGTGTGTGTATACATCATGTATGTATATGTAAGTATATACTTCTATAATTTATATATAAGTTACAGAAATTTTGGAAAATAGAGAAAAACACAAAGAAGTAAAAATCACCATAATCCCACCTTTAAGGATAACCAATATTATCATGTTGGATTATATTATTTTATCTTTTTTTCCAATGCATATATTTCTGTATGTTTTTATAAAAACAGTCATATTGGTCTTCAAGTATCACAAATGGCTTTTGCTCGTGGTGCTCACTGCATCACATGGCTACTCTTCCATGATACTTTTCTACATCATTCTAATGGCCGTCACTGTTCCATCCTATGAATTTATTTTTGTCTGCTTAATCTTCTATTGTTTAATGTTTGTTTCTAGTTTTGCACTGGAAACATATTTGTAGATAAGTGTTTACACATTTGCTAGACAGGTTCCTGGAAGTTCTCTACAATACTATGAAGGCTAAAATGACATATTAAGAAGCGTAATACAAACCCCCAGTTCCAATTGTCCTCCCATAACTCATCAGCTGTGGTATAATGGAAGTGACGAGATACATATTATCACATCACTGGTGTGGCTGGCAGAACCCTCAAAGATTAACAGCTGATCCTTTTATTTTAAGGACAAGGAAGCTCAGAGCCCAAGAAGTTATTTGGCCAATGACACACAGCCAAGCAGTGACCATATGTTACCAAATAGCCATGTTATCAGACACTAGAGAAGAATAGTTGGATAAAATTTAATACACGAGATGACAAAGAAAACCAATAAGATGGAAATAAAGTTATCAAAATATTAAAGCAAAGTTATGGTATAATAAGATGTAAACCACTTTACAAATGTATTAATAAGATCTAGGGGGTGGGCCTAACATTTAACATAATTTCGAAGTAATGGTGAACACAGTATTTCAAGATTTCTGCAACAGTGTCATATGATATGAAAATATCTGTGATTTCCCACTGGTGACAAGTCACTGATGCGACATATACTACTACGGTTTGTTGTCCACATTGTACTGTTGAAAGAAATGCTAAATTTCAAGGAGAAGTTAGGAAAATTAAAACTGTCATTGGTTCCCATCCATGTTGCCAGCACCCCCACATTCTGTCTGTTCTCCCATTAAGAACCCTTCGGGGAGAGGTCATCAGCCACTGCTGGTGCCCAAAGGACTTTAGCCACTGAACAGTAGATGATGAGGGTCATCCTGTGTGACGCAGGAAGAGTCAAGGCAAGGCGGACGGATTCAGGCGGTGTATTGCTCATAGAGACCGTGAAAACTGGTGTGGCCAAAGATGTCAGCTCTGCCCCACAGGAAGTCACTAAAACAAAATGGGCCCGGTGGCTGCAGGAGGGATGATGGGGCACCCTGTTGCTGAGGAGTGAAGTCTATGTTGCCACTAGGCAGTTTTATAGCCTGCAAATGTACCCTGAGGGGAGTGAGGCAGAAAGCCTTAAACCTCATCAGAACATGGGAGGTGGTGAGAAACTGTCCCATGACCGCCTCCTGGGGAGATAGGAAGGCAAGTGGGGAACAGTCTTGGAGCAGCTACTCACATTCTGGGAGAATCACAGGGCATTCTGCCAAGACTCAGAGAAGCTGCTGCTGAGGCCTTGCTCACAAGCCCTGTGTGGAGCCATGTAAGGTTGCTGGGGCACCGTGGTGGAGCTGTTCCTCGACATGAAGTGCTCAATGGATTTCTCCTGCCTCTGGTAGCATCTCTTTGGGGGACAAGGGGAGGCAAAAGTGAAGGGACTTCTGGAGAATTGTCAGATCGCATTTTAAACCCTTTTTCCTATCTACAAGTAAGCAACACATGCTCAATTTGGAAGACTTAGCACAGAAAAGGACAAAGAATACACCAACCATTATCCATATTCCTGCCACCCAGAGATAATATTTTGGTGCCTATCATGACAGTCATCGCAATGTCTAGATTAATTTTTTTTCTCCCACACATGTTGTACCTAACAACTTTTAGAGCTAACATTTTTGCCTTAAAAAAATACATCAAGGACATTTTCCCATGCCAGTAGCTTCAAGGTAATACTGTGAAATTCCTTCTTGGCCCAACAGGTAAACTCGCCAGCAATGAATTCACTCACTCACATGAAGCCCTTTCCCCAGACGCCTGAGTCCCAGCAGGAGAGGCCTCAGCTTGTCTCTAACAAAAGGTAAGGGGAGAACTCTTCCAACAGAGGGAGGGTGCAGAAAAGTTTCCCTACCTCTCCTCCACCTGTTCTTGCTGCTCTAAATGTGTCTGTATAGGCCGCCTGATCCGGGAAGATGAATCACGTGTACTGTTATATTGGCTGTAGATACTCAAGCCAGTGGCTTTCGGGTGGGTTTGAGCAAGGGTTGTTGAGCACACCTTCTCGGTCCTTCTCCCTGGCTCTGACAGCCAGTGGATCTACTGCCATGGCAACAAGAGACAAGTGGTTTAACTGTACAAAGCCCCGGTAGGAAGAAGGGGTTGGCAGTAGGTGGAAGGGAGAGTAGCATGGGGGACACAAGGGGAATGGGAAAGAAGGGGGATGTTGGTGGTAGGTCAGAGGGTAGCAGACCTGCCAGGATATGGAGGAGCTCTGGTAAAAGACTCTTTCCTAGCACAGATTCAGGACAGATGTGGGCAGCCTTCCATGAGGACGGCCTCCACCTGAGGACAGCCCAGAGCCAGTTTCCTTGAATGCTGGCATGATCCAGAAGGGACGCCACTCCCCCCTACCCCACACCACCTTCTGAAGGCAGGTTCCTTCTCATGCCATCCATGTTATTATCTTTCCAACCACACAACTCAGGTGGTAAGGCCTAGGACGCATGCCTTGGCCACCCTCCATCCCCCAGACAGATCCCCTACTGTCAGGACAGAGGCCAGGGTGGCATGAGTGGGGCATTGGCCTCTGCCACCAAGGAGCAATCCTTTGACTGGGTTTGAATAGGAGCTGAGCTCTCAAGTTGGGAAATGTGAAATAGAACTTGGGGCGCCTGGGGGGCTCAGTTTTTAAGCATCTGTCTTTGGCTCAGGTCATAATCCCAGGGTCCTGGAATCAAGCCCCACATCGGGTTCCCTGCTCAGTGGGGAGCCTGCTTCTCCCTCTGCCTCTGCCTCACTCCCCTGCTCATTCTCTCTCTCTCTCTCGTTTTCACTCTCTCTCTTAAAAATAAATAAATAAATAAATAAATAAATAAATAAAGGTAGTAGTGGGAGGTGGGGGTTGTGCCAGATAGTACCTTTAACGTGATGAGAATGTCACATGACCCCTATGGTCTTCTTTTTTTTCTTTTAAGATTTTATTATTTATTTGAGAGAAAGAATGAGCGGAGAGAGGGACAGAGGGAGAGGGAGAAGCAGACTCTGAGCAGGGAGCCCGACATGGGTCTCAATCCCAGGACCCTGGGATCATGACCTGAGCCAAAGGCAGATGCTTAACGACTGAGCCATCCAGGTGCCCAACCTCTATGGTCTTCTTCTCAAAATCCTATAACCTCAGTCCAATCATGAGGAAAAAACCTGGGGACATTCTACAAAATACCTGGCCAATCCTCCTCAAAACTGTCAAGGTCATCAAAAACAAGGAAGATGTAAGAAACTGTCACAGACAGGAGGTGCCTACGGAGACAGGACAACAAAAGGTAATGTGCGAGCCTCAAAGGGGTCCTAGGTCAGAGCAACACATTAGGGAAAAACTAAGAAACTTCAACTAAAGCATGGACTTTAATTAATAATCATGTATCAGCATTGTTTCATTAGTTGGGACAAATGTACCATACCAAGGTAAGAAAGTATAATAAGGGAAACTGGGTATGAGGGACATGGTAACCCTTTGTACTATCTTGGCAACTTTTCTGTAAACCTAAAACTCTTCTTTTGTTGTTGTGTTTAAGTATGGTTGATACATACTGTTACATTAGTTCAGGTTTACAACGCAGTAATTCCACAAGTCTATACATTATGCTATCATCTGAAACTATTCTTTAAAAAAAAAAAAAAGGCCAGCCAGTGAGCCCTCCACCACCTGATTGACATTTTCCCTGGACTTCCGCATACCCCCCCAAGCTGACGTTGGTGCCAGTACTTCCGCTTAGTTCCAGTTTTAGGAAACACCTCCTATCTGAGCCCCTAAGTCCAGGGTCAACAATTAGCAAAGTGTGTTCTGTTTGGTTAGCCTGGTGTTTTAAAAGGCAGTGTAGATCCAGAAATGAAAAAATTGATAAGTTGGACTTTATTAAAACTTAAAACACTGCTCTGCAAAAGACACTGATAAGAAAAGGAAAAGATGAACCACAGACTGGGAGAAAATATTTTCAAAACATGTATCTGATAAAGGACTTGGATCCAAAATACACAAAAACTTAAAATTCGACAAATAAGGAAAACAAACCAATTTAAAAATGGGCAAAGGATCTGAACAGCCACCTCACCCAAGAAGTTTTACAGATGTATGTGTATGACAAAATGCTCAAAGTCATATATCATTAGGGAATTGCAAACTAAAGCAACAATGAAATACTGCTACACACCTATTGGAATGGCTAAAATCCAAAAACAATGACATCTGCAAATGCTGGTGAGGATGTGGAGGTACAGGAACTCTCCATCTTTGCTGGTGGGAATGCAAAATGGCATGGTCCCTTGGGAAAACAGTTCGGTGGTTTCTTACTAAACTAAACATATTCTTACCATACGATTCAGCAGTCACGCTCCTTAGTATTTACCCAACTGAGTTGAAAACTTAGATCCATACAAGAACCTATGCCTGGGTGTTTACAGCAGCTTTGTTCATAATTGCCCTAAACTGGAAGCAACCAAGATGCCCTTCAAACGATGAATGGACAAATGAACTGTGGTATATCCAGATTATGGACTATTACGCAGCGCTAAAAAGAAATGAGCTATCGAGCCATGAAAAGACATGGAGGAAGCTTAAATTCATACAACTGAGTGTAAGAAGCCAAACTGAAAAGGCTACATACTGTGTGATTCCGACATGACATTCTGGAAAGGGCAAAACTATGGAGGCAGTAGAAAGACTAGTGATTGCCAGGGCAAGAGGGGAGGGGTGGAAAGGATGAATCCCCATTCATCAAAAAACCGGGGATTTTTAAGGTAGTGAAACTATTCTGTATGCTATGTAGTGGTGGGCATATGATATTATGCATTTGTTAAAATCCACAGAACTGTACAACAGAAAGAGTGAACCCCCAGGTAAACTATGGACTTCAGTTAATAATAATGTATCTATATTGGTTCATCAGTTGTAACAAATGTACAGCACTAACGCAAGATGTTAATAATAGGGGAATCCACAAGGCGGGAGAGGGGAGATAAGGGAACTCTTCTGTACCATCTGCTCAGTTCTCTGTAAATCTAAAACTTCTCAAAAAAATTAGTTCATCAATTTAAATTCTTTAAAACGGTAGTGTAAGTAGACTTGCTCTACAGCAATGCAGATAGCCTAGCCTTATCGTCCTACACCGGTCCTCTGTGCATCCCTCAGGTACCTGCCGACCTCTGGGACACTTGAGTTTGCAACCCCTATATAGCGGCCTCCTTCCCCTGAAACTCCTGGACTGCACAGAACATGTTTGAAACATGTTTGGCCCAGCCAAAAGGACAGGGCTTTCCCTGGTCATTGCTCTGGCTCAGTCCCAAGCCTCTCATGTGTCCCACACATTAATAAGGTCTCCTCCCAATGATGAGGCTCAGAACCCCTGGTTATTTCCCCAGCCTCTTTTCTAGATCTCTTGCATAGCTCCTTACTGGTAGAAATATCCTGCCCAGCAAATAGGAAGCTCCATCTCTAAGTTTTCTTTTGTCTCAAAGACAATGCATTGTGTGCGTGTGTGTGTGTGTGTGTGTGTGTGTGTGTGTAAAGGCCCAGTATGCACACTCCAGGGCTATAAGGTAGAAATAGACTACGCCTGCCAAGTAAAGTTCAGAATCCTGAATTTCAAAAGTGTGTATCAGATCACCCATGGGAGCTTTTCTCAAAATCTTGCTCCCAGAGCACTACCCCAGGCCCCTTCAATGACTGCTGGCAGGAGGCTCTTTAGAGAGATGGCCCAGATAAGCCTTGGAGCGCTGTTCATCTCCTGTGGCAGCCGGTGCTCTGGAGGGACTTCTAACCCTCGGCAGAGATAACCAAGCATCCTGAATGGTATTTGCTAAGACATCTCAACTGTGAGTGTTTGGCACCCCTAAATTCCCTCCATGCAGCAGTTTGGATTCCCAAAATTATAGTCAGAAGGTTTCCAATAGGTGAGAGGAAAAGGTCCCTGCTGGAGACTGGAAAGGGAGAGGCGTAGGGCTCCACCTCTGACCGAGAAATCACCTGCCACGTGCTTTATAATGCTGGCAGAAAAGAGCTCACAGGACTCTAGCAGGGACGAGGTGGGAAAGGCACACTGTCCCACGTCATCATGGCTTCTCAGACATTCTCTGCCAATATCCAGCAGTGGAGTATGAGTTGTTGGTGTCTTTAAATTCCCCAAGGAGACAGCTTTAGCTTTCTTCTCTTACTTCTTTTTACTTCTTCTCTATCTTTCTTCTCTTTTCTTCTCCTGGGCCTTGTAGGCTAAGCACTGAGCAAATGTGCAGCATACAATCATTGTCCCTGCTTTACAGATGAGAACACTCGGACTCTGAGAGGTCAATTAACTTGCTCAGGGTCTCCCAGCTAATCAGTGGTAAGGCAGACTTGGAACCTGTCAGTGCCCAGCTACTCTGCTCACTCCTCACATCAGTGACTGCCCTTGAGGAGCACATGTATATTCTCTTGCTTAGTAGAAGGTGGTCATTTTCCAGCCCATATTCTGTGCTATTTTATACAACTTTGCTTTCTTTATATTCTACCAAATGCCAGGTCCTCCTGCTTGGGACCTCCCCTCTTTCAGTGTGTCCACAGCCTGATTTTTCCAAGGGGCCAGGATTCTCAAAAAGCAAATCTACACTTGCCTACAAAGCCAACATCTGACTGGAAAACCAGAACTCCCTGCTATTTGCCTCCACCACTTCTGCTGAGAAGCCCTGAATTCCATCCCCTCATTTAACTAACTGAGGCCCAGAAAGGAAAAGGGATGTTTTTATCACTGTAGTTGATAATCCTGAACTTCAGGCTCCAGGCTGAGTGGTGGTGCTTTCTTTCTTCCTACTTCCCTCCCCCCTGCCCTCTCCCTGCTTCCTCTCCTCTCTTGCTTCACTCCTGCACTCCATTCTTCCCCATCCCTTTCTCCCCCTCTCTTGCTCTGCTCATCTTTATCCCCACCCTCCATTCCCTTTCTCCTTCTTTTTTATTTGTCTCCCTCCCTAGGCATCATGCCCCTTTCCCATGCTCTCCATCAGCCAAGCCTGCCTCTCCATATTGCTTGTCCATTTGTCCCCTCTGCCACCAGACTTTACCTGTCAGCTTTTGCGAAAGGGTGCCCAGCATGGAAAAGGCTAAGAACCAGTCACTGCACAGGGCCTCTTAGAATCTTCTTGGGGAACCACTATAAGAATCATGCTCCCCTCCCAGCACCCACTGGTGTGAGAAGTGGCACCATGGCATTCCTGAACATTCCTTAGGTATTTCAATTGAAAGAGACCCTTAACCCTGAAGCTCTGAGCAGTGGATTTCAGAGGTGTGCATCACATCACCATGGGTTACCTGCAAGGAGTCCCCTCAGTTTAGACTTTCACAAAGGATGTCTGAAACAAATCCTCATTTTAGTTCTTTCAAGCAGCAGACTCTTGGGCAAGGCAGCTCCCTCCTTGTGGATTTCCTCATCTCATCTTCGAGATACATCTAGGTCCCTCTGACACTATCATTCCACGAGCAGATAAATGTGCCAGTGCCATGGAAGGAACTGCAGGGGTGAGAAAGCCAGAGTCCACTGGCTTTTTCCCCCGAGCTCCAGAGTGGCTGCTCTGGATGGACTCACTGCAGGCCTGGGGCTAGTCCTCTGCTCCTCAGGTTCTGGAAGAAACCTGATCGAATCACTTCCTCAGGGATGGCCTGCAGGCTGATCACACTAAATTCACAACACTCTGATTGGCAACCCAGGAGGCCTTTTATTAATACTACTCATTAACCCTTATTAAGAAAAAGATAGTTCTGATGGCTGGTGTGTTCTTTCTCCAGAAGGCACGTCAACATGAGAAATGAATGCAATGTGTGAGGCTGATTGGTCAGGAAAGCAGACAAAAGTAATTTGTGTTGTGATCCTAAGGGTTCAGAAACTGAGCTGTGGCATCCACGGGCACTCTAGCAGCTTTGAAACTGGGGGAGTCATCTTCCTCAGGAGTCCCAAGCTTTCACATTGTGCCATCCTCCTGCACGGTTGCAGCAATATGCTGGATACCCCCATCTTTCCACGGTGCTGATCACGACACCTTTCTGCCCTGTCCATGTCCATCTCTGCCCCTCTGCCACCCACTGCCAACCCTCAACTGTTTGTACCTGTGGATGCTCCCTGGAATCTTAGACAAGGAGCCACTGGAAATCCACTGAGTTAATGAGCCATTTGAGTGCCAGTGACCTGATCTTGCAAGACTTGCTACAGTTTCAAAACTGACTTGAACCTGGTGTAATCAAAGCTCCTACAGAATGGAAGGCCCTTTCTCCTTCCCTTCTGGAGGCCTGCACCAGGAACCATTCAGAAGGAGCCCTGATCATTGACCACCGTTCTCCAAAGAAAAGCATGCAGAGCCTGCCACCTTGTGGCTGCCTCTGGTTCTACAGCATCCCTAACCAGACAGCACAGATGCTCCCCCCGCCACCCACCCACCAACTAGCCAGTGCAGTCTCTGGGATGCAGGGAAATAGGCATGAGGATGGGGGGATTCCCAGGCTCTGATTTCCTTTCCTGTTTGTTTGACCCACAGTCTCAAACCTGTGGAGGCAGGCCCAGGGAAAGAGGCCCTGCAGCTGGCTGAGATGGGAGAGGGCAGAAGGCTGGAACGGGGGAAGGGGCTGTATTCATGGGCAGGGCAGCAGGTTGTTGGGCCTATGGAGTGCCTCAGATGGATGGTGCAGGCTAGGCAAAGCCGGCGCCCCTGCCTAACCCTAGCCCACCTCTCAGCCTGAGTGTCCCCATCTGTAAAGGAAGGTTCCGACCAGGTGACCTTTTAGGTCTCTTCCAGCCCTGATATGGTGCCTAGGCAGGACCATTCCAAAGCAAGGGAGAGAACCCCAGCCTGTCACTGGCATCCTGGGACAGTGTTGGCGTCTTCATCTCCCAAGGGGCACTGTTGGGTTCTGCTGTTTGCAACCAGGAATCCAAGGCAAGGCGCACACATCAGGCAGCCTAGTTAAATGGGCAAAAATGCACCTGCCTGAGCTGTTGGGTCTGACTCGTCACTTGGGATCAGGGGCTGGTCAGTCGGTGTGGCCAGAGGTGAGCCATGCATCTCCAGCCGAGTCTGGTTGATAAAGTATCATGGCTGCGAGGGCGCCTGGGTGGCTCAGTTGGTTAAGCGACTGCCTTCAGCTCAGGTCATGATCCCGGAGTCCTGGGATCGAGTCCCACATCGGGCTCCCAGCTCAGCAGGGAGCCTGCTTCTCCCTCTGACCCTCTCTGCTCTCATGCTGTTTCTCTCTCTCTCAAGTAAATAAATAAATAAAATCTTTAAAGTATCATGGCTGAGAGCACGGATTCTGACCCCTCACAGAGTCATGGATAAGATTCAGATTCTGCCCTTAGCCAGCTGGTAATGTTTAGAATTTCTTTAACCTCCCTAAGCCTCCATTGTCTCACCTGTGTAATGAGGATAATGAGGCTATTGACAGGAGGAAATGGCATGATGTTTGCAGAGCACTTTCTAGGACCTGGTGAGTAGACGGTGTCTATAAATGTCAGCTATTCTGCTGCGAGTGTGCGCTGTTCTTCCAAGTTAAAGGAAGAATGACCCCAAAGGCAATTGAGAGATCACCCCGGCTGCCTCCTCCATTTCAAAAGTGGGGGGGCATTGTCTTGCTTTCAACAGACCAAAGAGCCTCTACCCAAAGCTGTGGGGCAGGGCCTCCCTGCAGAACCATGAGGGCACGACCCCTGCCCTGCAGGGCCCAGCAGGCCCTTTACTCAGTGGATCCAGAAGATGGGACCATCACCCCAGTGAGTCCAGAGGGCAAGAACATTGGACCAGAGAGGATTATTTTCAAGCCTTAAGATCTCATGGAGTTTGCACTGCTAGGTTTCGGACCTGCTTGGGACTCATCACCCCTTCCTTCTTTCCTCTTTCTCCCTTGTGGAATGGGAATGTCTAACCTACACTGTCCACCATGGTATTTTGGAAGCACATAACTTGTCTGGTTTCCCAGGCTCACAGCTGGTGAGGAATTCCATCTCAGGGTGATTCGACTTCTAGTCTCACCTATATCTGATTTAGACAGGACTTTGGACTTTAGAGTTGATGCTGGGACAAGTTAAGGCTTTGGGGGCTGGTGAGATGGAAGGAATGTATTTTGCACGTGAGAAGGACATGAATTTGACGATGGTGTGGGAGGGGGCAGGGTAGAATGTGATGGACTTAATGTGTCCTCTAAAAATTCATTTGTTGAAACCTAATGCCAGATGTGATGGCATTTGGAGGTAGGTCTTTAAGTCACAAGGGTGGAGCCCTCATGAAGGGGATTAGCGCCTTCGTAAGAAGAGGCAGAGAGCTAGCTCACCTTCTTTCCAGCCTGTGAGAACACAGGAAGAATTTGGCAGTCAGCTGGAAGAGGACTGGTGTGAGAACATGACCATGCTATACCCTGGTCTCCAACTCCCAGCCTCTAGAACTGTGAGAAACAAATTCCTGTTGTGAGCCACCGGTCTAGGGCGTTCTGTGATAGCAGCCTGAGCTGACCACGACACCATCCACGACACAGGATTCCTGGCTCCTCTCGTAGTCAGCTCAGGCTGCCATAACAAAATACCATAGACGAGCTGGCTTAAACATTAGGAGTTTATTTCTCACAGTTCTGGAGACTGGAATTCCCAGTCGAGGTCCAACAAAATCAGTCGCTGGCAAGGACCCTCTTCTCGGCTTGCAAATGACAGTTTCTCCCTGTATCCTCACATGGTAGCGAGCTCTGATCTCTCTTCCTCTTCTTGTAAGGGCACCAATCCCCTCATGGGGGCCCCACCCCGATGACCTCATCAAAACCTGATTACCTCCCAACAGCTTCCCCTCCAAATACATCACACTGTGGGGCAGGGCTTCCACATATGAATTTGGGGGGACACACACATTCAATCTGTACAGCTCCTAAATATAAACCTAAATTTCTTTTCTGTAAATCTCCTCCCACTCCTTTTCCTTTTTTCTTTGTTCTTTTGCAGCGAAGTGAACGCCAGGAAAATCTTGTCCTCGCCTTACCCCACCCCACAGAGCCGGGAGCACAACAGCACCAGAGCCCCCCTGGAAGGCAGGTCTGTCTTCTCCTCCCTCTGATGCCTGTGGCAGCCCCTGCCATGGTGGAATAGGTCAAAATTGCCAGTTCTCTTGTCCCACATCCTGCGAGCCCCTTGTCTGGTAGCTGCACAGAGCTCAGGGCTAGCCTCCACCCCCCTGCCCCGGTACCCTAGGAATACCCTGGAGTCTCTCACAGATGCTGAGTCCCAAAGCTGGGAGGTTTTCTCCCAGGGCCCCACGCAGGCAGACTTGCTTCAAGTCTCCTTGTAAATAGATGTACCCAGGGCCATTAAAGGAAAGAAGAGCTGGCCCATGGGCCGTTCCAACATGGCCTACTAGTCCCACCACAGGGTCCCAAGGCAGAGAAGGATAGAGAGTTAACAAGCCTAGCCTCAGGCCCTGGGCACCATTCACTGCAGACTGAACAAAGCTGACAAGGCCTCTCCCCAGCAGTGCTCTTTATGCCCCCGACTAGAACTCTTCAGCACCCTTCTTCACCTATACACCTCCCAAGCTGTCCGAAGGTGAGGTCCAGCCATTCCCCTCCCAGAGCCCAGACAGAAGGAACAGCTCCATGCTGCCCCATGGGAGCACTTCTCCTCGATTGCAGCTGGATGCCAACACAAACCATTACTTGTGATCATGAGCAGCCCTTTATTATGTCCTGTCCTCACTGCCTTCTGAGACAGTGGACACTGTCACCTTCTGTGTGGAGTGACAGGATGAGGGGGGCGCTTGGCAAGCCAGGAGGGCACTGCTTTGAATTTTCTTTAGGGGTGATTTATTGGATGGAAAAAGAGGAGGGAGAAAGGCACATGTGCATTCTTCCTTTTTTAAGGGGATTTCTTGGAAATTCCACACTTCTTACAAATCTCATTGGCTGGAACCTGGTCACCTGATTGCACGTAGCTGCAAAGGAGGCTTGGAAATGTAGTATTTTTTTTTCCAGCCATGGTAACATATTCAGCTAAATATCATGTTTTTATAAAGAGAGGAGAGAACAGTTATCTGCCCCAGGAGCAACTAAGCCATGGTAGGTATGGGGACGCACAGGGGAGATGTCCTTCAGGATATGCCATCTAAGTTGGGTGCTGAAGGAGACAGTTAAGCCCCAGGTGGAATAGCCTTGGTGGGGGCAGGAGTTGGGAGGGTTGGGAAAGGTGCTGAGACAAGGCATAATCAACTATGCAAAGGTCTTGGAGAAGAGCAGTCCAGGAAAAGGAGACAGCTAAAGTAAAGGTCCTGAGGCCAGAAGGAACTCATGTCATTGAGTAACAGAATAACAGAAAGAAGGGCAGGGTGGCTGGAGCATGGTACACCAGGGGCCAGATCACACAAGACGAGAGTTTGAGTTTCATTCCAAGAGTGATGCGAGAAGCCACTAATGGGCTTAAGGTTTAGGGTTAGGGTTAGGGGTTAAGGTAGGGTTAGGGTTAGGGTTAAGAGAGGACATGACACGTTTGCAGGTGAAAGGATTTCTGTGGCTTCTGCCCAGATACGGTGCAGGGGTGAGGAGGCAGACTGTGGTCCCACAGCCTCCTGGGTGAGATCCGTTCTCTGAACACAGAAAGCACTTTGGAAAGGTAAGCATGGAGTCCAAATGTAAGGTGCAGTGATGTGTGACTTGTGGTTGTCCTCAGCATCCCTGAGAGGCCAGCATCATCTGTCCCTCTCACCGGGGACAGCCAGACGGACTCGGACATACTGGCATTCATTAAGGCCAGACAGAGCATTCTGCAGAAGAAATGTAAGTGCACCTTCCTCCAGGGCTCTGCTCACCAACCGTTGGGTGAGGGAGGGGGAAGGCCAGAGTGAGCTGAGAAGGAAGTCGGAAGCGTCCTGCATATTCCTGAAACCACAGGACTGACCCTGTGGTCACCTCACACGTGCCTAGCATCTGCTTCCTCCAGGAAAAAGCTCCAAGAGGCAGCATCACAAACACCAAGACAGGCTCAAAGGGGTGCAGGCCCAGGTGTTCCCGCCCTACTTGGCAAAGCTTCCTTCCCTCTTCCAGATCTTCGGCTCCTTGTGTTCTCTGTCCCCAAAGCCAGCTCACCTCTGTTCAGCCTTCTCCATACAAGAAGGGGCTGAGTGATGATTTGGTGGCGTGAGTCCCTGGCTAGAATTATCATTCTCCTGTTGGAGCCTGGTTCTTACCAATGAGTTGTAGACATAATCACCATCTAAAGGCTCAGGCCTGGGGCGCCTGGGTGGCTCAGTTGGTTAAGCGACTGCCTTCGGCTCAGGTCATGATCCTGGAGTCCCGGGATCGAGTCCCGCATCGGACTCCCTGCTCGGCGGGGAGTCTGCTTCTCCCTCTGACCCTCCTCCCTCTCATGCTGTCTCTCATTCTCACTCTCAAATAAATAAAATCTTTAAAAAAAAATAAAGGCTCAGGCCTGAGGACACCATTGACAGTTGAAGAAGAAATACTTGTGGTGTGTCAGACAACAGGAAGAGAACGAAAAGGCCCTTCCTGGCCTTTGTCACCTGCTTCCCCCCATCTTCCTCTTGGCAGCTGCTGCCTGGCTGTGGACAGGCCTTCTCTTCTCCTGCCTCCCCTCTCCCCAGAGACCCCCAGGGATGAGACCCAGGACCCCTGAGCCCATCCGTACTTTTAACCTCATTCCAGTAAGCCAAAGGCTAGCAGAGGGCCGGGCATTGCTTCCCCGTGATGGATGAAATGGCAGACTTGGATCCTATCAGGAGTGACACCTGCCCCGAGAGGCCCACATTCATTTTCATGGCCAGCTCTCTGCAGTTCAGACACTAGGAGGTTCGCACATGGGTGGAGCGTCGCAGGCAAAGGCCGGCCTTGGCACGTCATGTGCACCGACAGCAGGCAGTCGCGCTTGCCGAGATGCCAGCCAGCCCACTGTTCGCTCTCGGGGAGCAGCACCACTGCGAGGTCTCTCTGAGACCTGAGATAGGCTCTGCCACCAGCCTGAGGTGACACCATAGCTCGCCTTCTCTCCTCCATTTCCTTGTTGAAAAAAGAGAGGACACCAACAAATAGGGAAGATCACTTGAGGTGCTGAGCTAGAGAGCAGGAGCCAGCTCAACAGGCCTTGTGGGCGAGGGTAAGGGGCTTGGCTTCTAGCCAAGAAGTGAAGGCTCCCTGAAGAATTTAAGCCATGGCGTGATGTGGTCTGACTGGGGCTTTGGCAAGCTTACTCCGGCCCCTGCACACAGCCGAGGCTGCAGGGGCCCAGGAATAGCAGTTATGCGGCTCCTGGGGAGGTCCAGGCAAGGGGTGAGGGTAGCCTGGCCCCAGCAGCAGGTTGGACGTGAGTCGTGAGGGAGAGGAGAGCCAGGAGGGCTGGTGGGCACCCGCTCTAGCAGCTAACCGGGTGGGGATGCCATCGGCAGAAAGGCAGGGAGGCGTGGACCCCAGACAGAAGTTACTGGGGGAATTCAGAGTTCCAGTTGGCCCATCTGAAGTTTCAGAAGCCCCCTGAGACCCCAGAGGAGATAAACAGGCCCCTGAACACGAGTCTGGGTGGACTATAGCACCATGCCCTGAGTGAAATCCCTGTCGAAGAGAGCAAATAGGGTTATTCTAATCGCTGACACAGACCGCTGGGGCACTCTGACGTTTGGAGGTGAGCGGGAAGATCCAACCAAAGCTACAGAGAAGGTTCGGCCAGGGTGAGAGAAGGGCCAGCAGGGGAGTGAGCATGGCCTCAGGCAGGCCTGCAGGAGAACGTGGTCCAGCGGAGACGGGCCACTAGAGCCCAGGGCTGCTGGAGGCTGAGGAAGCACGAACGGGACGCTGCCCACTGGCCACTCACCCGTCACGGTGGGCTGGATAAGCGCCCTGTAGGCGGGGCGCGGGGGGGCGGGGCGGGAGGACGAAAGGCCCATTGCAGTGGTTGAGGAAAGAAAAGAAGGAGAGCAGAGATGGGGAGTGGGGCCAGCTGTCCCAGGGGCTGAGCTGGGAGGAGGCTGAGGCTAAGGAGAAGCAGGGGTTACACAGACGTGTTCTCACAGACTTAAGTGGAGTGAGCGGTTGGCATTTGGAGCTGGGAGACTCCCCTCCCCTGGAACAAATGCACAGAAATCAAACATCATTCATCCCCTCAAGAAGTCCACATAAGCAACATTTTTAAGTTATGTTTACTGAGCTTTTGCCCGCATAATAAAGACACTATTTCCAACCCTCTCAGAGAAGAAGAGGCATAAACCCAAGGTCTATGTCAGGATGGTGTCTTCCTGCTAACACAGTGCCCAGATGGTACAGAAAGCTGTGCTGAAAGGCGGGCGCTCTTAGTGTACAGAGCCTAGAGTCTGATCCCCCTTTTGACAGGTGGGGAAACTGAGGCACGCAACAGTTGAATGGCAGAGCCAGGATAACCCAGCTTTTCTGCACTCTTTCTGCATGGCCACACTGTCTTGAAAAGCCGCTCTGTGGTCGGTCGGGTGTTTGTCTCTTGGCCTCCACCCTCCCTGCAGCTGGGGAGCTTTGTTCTCCAAACAAATAGCAGCCTGGAAGTAATTCATCAAAACAAAAGTTCAAGGGTTCAATTTTTATTCTTAAGGGGAAAAAAAAAGTAATCTTGGGTTCTTAGTGACCATGAGGCTGCAAAGGAAGCTGAAGAAGGGTGACAGGGGTTCCTGTTCCTCCAGGTCAGGGCCAAAGGGCCAGCAGGTGCAGCCTCTCCGACGGGCGGCAGATGGCCAGGCCCCACCACGCAGCACTTTCTACGCAGCCCCCTTATCAGGCCTCGCATCAGGCAAACATGCAGGCCGGGCCCCAGGCACCTTCCCCAGCCAAAGCAAACACTTCTCTCCCCTGCCCTGGGCTCCCTTCGCTCTTAATTTAGTGGCGCTGTCTGTCCGGGCTTCTTCAGGAGGGCTCATTATGGGGAATTTGTGACTATCAGCCTGGGAGCAGGAACCCAGAGAGGGTGATTGAACAGACGCCTCGCCCGCCAGCTCTTGCAGTTCACCAAGGGCCAGGATGAACCTAGTTGATTTAGGATCATGGAAAAGCTGTGGAACGTTTAAATCCCTGCCAGGGGCACGTGTGGACAGGTATATATCCCCCGTACAGGGTGTTTGTCATCCATGGTGTCAAATCTGCTGGTTCTAACTGCCGAGGATGGCTTTAAAATCTGAGAAAATGAGGTTAACCCCTTTCTAGAGTGCTTTAAAAAAAAAAAATCTTCCTAATCCCTGAGTTTGGAACTTTTTGCCTGCGGACAGGAACCTCGGTGTGACCCCCATGACCACCACGCCCTCTTCTCTGGTTAGTGCCAGGAAGAGGCTCTGCCAAGTGCCTCAGAGCCCCCTGCCACCCCAACTCCTCCATCCGCACCCTGAGAAACCCTCCAGCTCTCCTTTGTGCAGGATCTGTCCCAGTGAAATGGAAAGAACCCAGAACTGGGAGGGAGGCGGCCCAAACCCAGGGCTCCCTTGCCCTCGGCCCTATATGATCTTGGGCAGCTCACCTCACACATCTGTCAAGTTCAGATTTCACCCCCCTTGGGGTGGCCAACCCCTCCTGAGATAACATCCATAGAAGTCCCCTCTAAGCAGCCAAGCACCAGGGAGCCGTTATTGGGGGAACTGGCCTCAGTGGTGAGAGCTTGCCCAGCACAGCGAGGAGTGATTTCCTCTCCAGGATTGCTCTACAGCAATACCCCCCAGTCTGGGAACCTACAGTCACAAAATCCCCTACAGACTGACGGCTCCACCACCACATCACTGGGGCTCAGCGGGTCCAGAAATGGCCCCTTTTATCTGGGGTTGAAGTCTGTGTCTGTGGGGCCCTCTGGCTCCTATTATGCTAGCCAGACTTTAAGCAAATTAACTGCTTGTCACTCACACCACTCCTCATGTGTTAATGTGCCAGTAAATGTAGGGGTTTTGTTAAAACGTAGATTCTGGTCCAGGAAGTCTGGGTTGGGGGCCAAGATTCTGCACTTCTTAACAAGCTTCCTGGGGATGCCAGGGCTGCTGACTCACACTTTGAGAAGCAAGGAGCCATGCTAGTTACCTTTCTTCTTCCGGGTACCTCATCTGCTCCATGGATCTGGATGTTCAGAAGGAGGCCCAGAGAACAAACATGATTTGCCCAGCCACACCACGGGTTGGGGACTGTCCTGGCTAGAATTCAGGGGCCCTGGTTCTTAGTCCAGAGAACCTTTCTCTGTGTCCAGCCATGTGGTCAGAAAGAGCCATCCTGGGAGGTCACCTGGGTGGCTCAGTAGTTAAGCGTCTGCCTTCAGCTCAGGTCATGGTCCCAGGGTCCTGGGATCGAGCCCCGCATCGGGTTCCCTGTTCAGCGGGAAGCCTGCTTCTCCCTCTCCCACTCCCCTTGCTTGTGTTCCCTCTTTCACTGTGTCTCTCTGTCAAACAATAAATAAATAAAAATCTTAAAAAAAAAAAAAAAAAGAGCCACCCTGGAATATAATGAATATCAGGAGCAAAAAGCAAAAAGAGAATCTCTTGGAGAATTTAGCAGGGGTGTCTGTGAAAACCGTGCGGTTGGACAATGAGTACGGTTCCTGGCTCAGGGAGATTAAGCTTTTGCAGAGGGCAAAGGAGGCATCGTCCTGCAGAGCTGGGGGAATAAAGGCAGCACCTGGGAGTTGGGGCACTGAGAGGCGCACCACCCCAGAGCTGAGGAGAGTGGCTTGCAGCCTCCTCCCTGTGCCCCGCACCCTTCCATCTGGGGAGAAATCGGTGCCCCCGTGCACAGCCTAACCAAGAACATCCCGTCTCCTTTCAGGTTTCCAGTAGGTGTCCATCGTGGCCGCAGGAACAGAGTACGGATGAAGGAAGGCACCTTTTCTCACTCACCCTGGCTTCAGACTTGATCTGCGGTCTGCTGAGAGCAACTAGTGATTTTGGCTCCAATAGAAGGGGCTGTGTTTCCTTAAGGATGGTGTCCTGAAGGCTGCCGGCGAGGCTGGGGCTAGGGCTTAGGGTGCCATCCTTGCTGTGGGTGCTGGAGACAATGCCAGGGTGCCAGGGGTGGGACAGGGGCTTCTGCTCACTCTTATGGTGCTGCTTCCCATGGTCGATTACAAACCCGGGACATTATGAAACAGTACCATCAGAATGTAGTGGCAGGGGAAGCTCGTGCTGGTAGAATATGGGAGAAATGATAACCCATTATTTTTAGCTAACTACCAGCCAGGTGTAGGAGCCCAGGAATAGCTGGGGCAAGCCAGGCAGG